TCCTAATCCAAGAAATAATAATAACCAACAAAATAACCCTCCACAAAATAATAATAACCAACCTAGAAATAATCAACTTACACAACAATTAGCTGCTCTCTTACAATATTTAAACTTAAATCAGTATTAGTGAATACAGAAGGTCCTGATACTCCTCAAAACAATGCAAACCCTTTTATGATATATTTAAAAGAAGAAGATAAAAATAATATTAATGAAGTATATATTAGAAAAAGAAGAAAAGTAGAAAAAAATGAAACTTCAAAAGTTCAAAATATTGTGGTAAATGACCCTCAAGCAGAAAGTTCTAAAATATCTAAAGTTAAAAAAAAAAGAAATTCTCTACAAGGTCCAAGATTTCATAAACCAACAATTGGTAAAGATATACAAAAATATTCAATTGTTCAAGACTTACAACAAATCAAAGCAAATATTTCTATTGCTTAACTTGCTGCTAAAAATCTTAAATATTTAAGAAAACTTAGTAAAAGCTTTTGAAAAAAAAGATCAAATTTGTTTCTGTATCTATAGTTACTGCTCAATATGCTGATGATAGAAAATTTAGAACTATAGCATTATATTGTCAAGCTAATATTAATAGAATTACAACCAATATTATTCTTGATAGTAGTTCTGCTAGAAGTATTATCTCTAATTATTTTTTTAAATGTATTGGCTTAAAAATTACAAACTATCAACAACCTTAATGCTGAATATAAATGATGAAAAGAGAAGATCTTTTGGAGAAGTAGAAAACTTATCTATTAATATTGGTGAATACTCTTTATCAATTAATGTAGTAGTTGCAGATACAGATATATACTCTGCAATTGTTGGTAATGACTGGTTATCCAAAGCTAAAACAAAATAAACTGAGAAAAATCAGTAATGAAGATTAAAAATAAAGATGTAAAAATTCAAGTTTCTATTGAATTTAGACATGTTACTAGAATTCCAAGAGTTGAAGCTATATCCAAAAAAAAAACAAAAGAAGAAAGCTCTGATAAAAGTAAAAGTGAATATGAATCCTCAAGTGAATCCGATAAATCCACTGAATATGAAGATAAACAACTTGAAGAAAAAATTTATACTCTTAATCTTTGGCAAAAAATTGAAAAAAAAAATTTAAAGCAGATGTGTCCACATTGTCATTCAAAAACAAAGAATAGAACAAAATTCAAGAAATTCTACTAACCTTTTATAAAGATAAAATAGAAGATTCTTTTGACTCTTTCCCTAAACTTAATGTTGGAGAATTAGATGAAAAACAACAAGAAGAATTTTATAATCTAGTTAATGAATATATTGATATCTTTGCTCAAAATGACTCTAATTTAGGAAGAACTAATAAAATCTGACATAAGATCGAAGTCAAAAATAATAAATTTATAAAACAATAATTTTATCAGACCTCCTCTAAAGAAACAGATTTTATTAAAGAAGAAATTCAAAGAATATTAAAACTAAATCTTGTTTAGCCTTCTAAAAGTTCTTAGGTTTCTTCAGTTGTTATTGTTAAAAAGAAAAATAAAAAACTACATTTTTGCATAAATTATAGAAAATTAAATGCAGTAACTAAAAAGGACAGCTATCCTCTACCAAAATTGATGAACTTTTAGATATATTACAAGGATTTGAATGGTTCACTTCTCTGGATCTAGCAAGTGGTTACTGGCAAGTAGCTATGGCTCTTCAAGATATACCCAAAACTGCATTTACCACTCGACATAGACTATATGAATTTAAAGTAATGCCCTTCAGATTAACTAATGTCCCAACCACATTTTAATGCTTAATGAACAATATACTACAAGAATATCTTTGGAAATTTGTTATAGTATATTTAGATGATATC